TTCTTTAATGAAGCCTCCGTCGGTGCGCTCTGTTGCGCGCGTGGCGCAGGTCTTGAGGATGGCTCAGCGGCCGTAGATGAGCCTCCGACAACTCCATTGAGGCGCTCGACTTCCCGCTTGGCGCGGTCTTTTTCTCGTTCTTCTCGCTCGTGGTTACGGTGCAGATCGCGGAGGAAGCGCTTTAGTGCGCCTTGATGTTTGGCAGTAGATTCATGGTTTTGGCGCTCGAGTTTTGTGTCGCGAACATAGGTCTCGCAGTGCTTGCACCAGTATTTGGGCGTGGATTTCCAGTATTCTGACATTTTGGGTGGTGATGTTGAAGGAAGGTTGCCTGAATGCTTCTAGAATTGGTGGCTTGGAATCAAGGTGCTTATCCTGAGCTGGAAGGCTAATGCACGGGCCATGCGCGAGCTTCAGGGTAAGCAAACTTCTTTGATGTGAGGATGTCGATTAAAGCTGATGAAGAAGCCAAGGCAGAGTAAACTGGCCGGCAATTCTAGTCAAACATGAGCTTGCATTGCATGAGACCTTATAATTAATAAATACCGATATCTAGTTATATGGAAATGATCTGTTAATCCCAGAGGCAAGAAAGATGCGCTTGCTTTATGGCGATTTTTTATGTTAGTGTTTAACACAATATCATTACACCAATAAACACTCCTGTGTACTATTTATTGGGACGAAGAGTCGAGTTATCGAGATTGATCGTACGAAGTTATCCTTCTTGGGCAAGTCACGGCCAGCTGAAGCCGACATGACAAGAACCCTGACTTCTCTCCGAATGGGCTGAGATACGCGAACGAGAGATCCAAGCGGTTTCACGTTTCATTTTGGCAATACGATGATCTAGATCCCATCTCAAACCGAAAACACCTTATCTACAATAGCATAATGTATACGGAGTACAGTCCTTTAAAACAAATATACATAGTCAAGCCAAACACCCTCAGTCTCGGGGAATATCGCCATGCCGTCACATTCTGGAAAAAGTGTTAGCCCAGCCGCCGTGTCCTGTCCCTTGCATCATCCCTGGATCCCAACATCCATCAGTGGAGCATCGTTCAACGTTCAATACGATGTCGTATGTATTCTAAATAACGCAAAACTCAGTTCATTGCAATTTTTGCTTGGCGCTTACAGCGTTGGCCGCCAATAAGCGCATCCTAGACGCATTGCCTATTCTGGGTCTCGAGCAAGCGATGATTCGGCGGTGGCGGTTCTTTTTTCTCCGAGTGAGAATGAGGCAAAGAATGATGAGAAACTTGGCGGTTGCTCTGCCGTTGAGCCGCAAGCTTGGGATACTGGGCGGGTTTGGGCTTTATGCCATGGCGAGTGAATGCAATAGTTTAAGGGATTGTTTATGTGAGAAGACCCTGGATTTGTGATGTCGGCGTATTGGGATGTAAACTTTCCTGTTCCTTGACGATCTAAACCGTGCAAACTTGCTCCCATCAATAACGTTCGTCATATCACATCTCCCTTCCCGCTCAGCCTCCAACGTTGCAATCCATTATGTAAAGGAGTCCCTTATTAAACTGGGTTCCCTCTGATTGTCCATTGGACTCTCTTCACACACGATCGGGGGCCATCCCTATAGCGAGGTCGTCGGGTCCAGCTACCGATTCTGGTCTTTGACAGCGGAATGTCCCTGTAAACCGCACCATATTTCTCCCTATACCCACATCATCCACTGTCAGACTCTTTAACGAATCATGTACCGCTTGTCTTTGCTTGTTTCTCCAGGGTATCGAGAAAACTCTGCAGAGTTTCTCAACCGAGGATCCACTGCTTCTCTGCTTTCTTGCACCTTCGCCGCAAACGAATCATGAAGTACGTCACGTGAAAAGACAGTACACGTGATCTTCCAGTGAGCTGAACTGAAGAGTTTGAGACTGTGACGTCATGCACTGTCTTGGCATTTTATCTCGTAAACTTCCTTCGGATCGCCATTCCGTCAACAAGTTTGTATAAGTCATGTTACGGCAACGACAACAGCAACGAGAGCGGTACGTATCAGAAGCGATGCGATGCGACGATCTCGGCGACTTGCGAAATGAACATCATGGAGAAGGACAAGCTTAATTCGCAAGACGCGTTGAACGGACTTTTCTCATCCTGGAGCTTCATGAGGTTGTTTGATGGGTACTGACAAGACGCTCTTCCTGATGAGAGAGGTTCAGTGGAGTCCGCCTCCTCTACCTCATATCGACGATATCCACCATCTTCACTCGGACTCGTCCTCTCGCTTCTCCAGTTACTTAACGAGACTCCATAATGACGCGATGTCTGCAATTCTCGCTCTCACTCCTCAACAAGGGTTCGTTCGTTCATCAAACATCGAAGGATTGATCATTGCAACCACCAACGACACGACACGACCCACTGAACTCTCCACCACCACCATGTCTGAGTCCGCTGTGTTCTTCTGGGATCATCTCTATGAGTTCCATTCTCATAAATCCCTTTGCTCTCGCTCCGCTCTCTCCTTGACTTCCTTCTCTCTCTCCATCCCCATCTCCCATCTCCACATGTCCTCAACCCCAGATCACTTCTGAGGTTGTCAAGTGGTTTTGTGCTGTCTCATCAACTAACAGCAACTTGGCCGAATCGTCTCCAACATGTCCTCCGATTCGGAAAAGGTCTCCAAGAGGGCCGAGAGCCCCAGTCCCATCGTCGAGAATGATGGTGGTAACGCTGATGGCCTTCATCGCCGTCTCAACAACCGTCAAGTTCAACTCCTCGCTATCGGAGGCACTATTGGTACTGGCTTGTTCATCGGTATCGGTGCCGGTCTGGCCAAAGGTGGCCCTGGCAGTCTCCTCGTCTGCACAGCTCTCTACGCCATGGTCCTCGGTCTCACCAACAACTCGATTGCTGAGATGAACACTTACATGCCTGTCTCAGGTGGTTTCATCCGTCTTGCTGGTCACTGGGTTGATGACGCCCTCGGCTTCATGGTCGGATGGAACTTCTTCTTCTACGAGGCTCTTCTGATCCCCTTCGAAATCGTCGCTCTGAACCTCGTTGTTTCATTCTGGAGTGACAATATTACTGACGCCGGTCCAACTGCTGGCTTCATCATCGCAGTCATCATCGCATATGGGTAAGGCTTAAATCCCGAGCTGCATCCTGATCAACATGGTCACGGATGCGCTCCATGGTTTCTCTCCTCAGTTCTGCTTCCCTCCCTCTCCCTGTCTATGTGTGAATGCACGCTAAACATTCGTCTCCTCTTCTAGCGTGTGCAATATTCTTGCTGTTGGTGTCTTTGGTGAAGCTGAGTTCTGGCTGGCCCTCGGCAAGGTCCTCCTGATCTTTATCCTCTTCATGTTTACCTTTGTGACGATGGTCGGGGGCAATCCCCAAGGTGACGCTTATGGCTTCCGCTACTGGTCCAACGCGCATGATGCATTTGCGACATTCCGAACCGAAGGTGACCTTGGACGTCTCGAGGGATTCATGGGTGCACTGGCTTCCGCTGCCTTCTTTGTCGTCGGCCCTGACTATATCTCTATGGTCGCCGCCGAGTCTAAGCACCCCAGCCGATATGTTAAGACTGCCTTCAAGACCTGCTACTTCCGTTTCGGTCTCTTCTTTATCGGCGCTGCCCTTACCTGTGGCATCGTCCTTAGCCACACTGATAAGACACTCGTTGAGGTTCAATTTGGCAGCGGATCCGGCGGTGGTACTGCTGCTGCCTCTCCTTGGGTCATCGCCATGTCCAACCTCGGTATTCAAGGATTGCCCCATCTCGTCAACGCCCTTCTTTTCACGACTATCTTCTCTGCCGGCAACACCTACACATATTGTGCGACCCGTTCCCTGTACAGTCTCGCCCTCGATGGTCGTGCCCCTGCCTTCCTCCGCAAGACCACTAAGAGCGGCATCCCTGTCTGGTGTTTCGCCGTTACCATGGTCTTCCCTCTGTTGGCCTTCCTTCAACTCGACAGCTCATCCGCTGAGGCACTGACTATTCTCCTCGCCCTCATCACTGGTGGCGGTATTGTGGATTATATCACCATGAACATTACCTTCCTCTTCTACTACCGTGCGTGCAAGGCGCAGGGCATTGATCGCAAGAAGATGCCCTACTTTGGCTACTTCCAACCCTACTGTGCCTGGATCGCTCTTGTACTTCACACAGTCGTTTGCTACACCTATGGATACACATCTTTAGCCCCCTTTAACGCGAAGAACTTCTTTTCCAACTACACCATGCAAATCATTGCTCCCTTCATGTACTTGGGATGGAAGCTCGTAAAGCGCACCAAGATCGTCAGTGCCAAGGAGTGCGATCTTGTCTGGGAGCGACCTGTCATTGATGCTTACGAGGAACGCGCCATGATCGTTGACCCTCCTACTGGTTTCTGGGAGGAGATCCTTGGCCTTGTTGGCATCAAGAAGAACGAGAAGAAGAACGCTGCTGAAGTCCATGTCTGAGCTTGCACCTGGAAATGGTGAACGCGAATGAAGAATGACGCTGCGACATCCATGATGCGCAGAAGCAACGAGTCAGTTCGGCAAACGTCGTGACTGAGAAGGGGTTCAGCTCAGCTGATCATCGTCATCGCTTGGATGAGGTTGTGGACAGAGCCCTGCTGCGCCGCCTGAAGTTACAGGCGGCATGAAAGATACCCAAACGTCATTCCCTAATGGGTCGAGTGACGATAGCTTGCATGAGATAGAGTGTATATACGAATATATGAATGAAAATATCCTGCTATGACTGATCTATTTGCGCCTCCCATGAACATGTCTATCCAGTGTTGCGACTCGTTGAGAGGCGAAACTCTGTCCCCCAAGTTCAGGCCAATGCACCGAAGTCTTTATGTCGCTCAGTGCTGGTCCTAGTTTTATTACCTCCCCCTCGGGCAAAACAACTTAGACCTGAATATACGGTTTTAAAAGTAAACTTAGTAAAAGACATCCAAAATTGAGTCAAATTACCATATACTTTTATTATCTAGCATCAAGGTCCTGAGCGACTGTCACACCTCTCAGCAGTAGCCCTGCCGTTCAACACTCGACATGCTGCCGCGTCTTTCTTTTGGTCGCACCAATTGAGTATCTCGAACAGTGCTTGACTTGTACTCAATTTCAAGCCAATGTCTTCGTTTGGCGTATTCCAAGGTGCTCTCCACAGAACACTTCCTATCCCGCCACTGTAAGGGAACCCGAACGACCCATACTCCAGACCAGCTCTTGATCTCTGGCTCGTCATTTAGCAGGTCAAGTGAGATCCGCTTTCGCTCGGTGTACCTGCCAAAAAATAGCCATTCTCGAATAACGAAATCTAGGCTTGCAGTACTGAGGGTAGAATTCTTGGGGTTCCAAAGATCTTCAGGCACCTTGGCGCCATGAAGCACAAGAAACTTGACTGCCTCCCATCTACGGTTGTGAACGGCAGCATTCAGGGGAGATCCGTGTTCACAACAATGGTGTTCGAGATCATTGATACCGAGCTTGATGATGTTCTGAATCGCTGTGACCGAACCCCAGCAGGCTGCTCGACATAACAAACTATGAGTACCGGGGGTTCCCAGGCCACATAGCTGGCGGACACCCCCAATCCCGATCGAAGGTTTGACATACCGAAGGCTGTTGGTTATGCCAACCAAGTTATCTACTCCGTTGGAGAAGAAATGGTCAGGCCAGCTGCTGAGTTTTTCCACTTGTAGATCGAGTCTCATGTCCAACATGCACAACAAGTAACCCCGGCAAGATCTTGTAAAAAGATAATGGGAAGCGGAAGAACCGACCCTATCACATACGTATAGATCGACGCCATGATCTAGGAGCTGCTTGAAGAGCCCAATATTGGGTTTAGTGTCTGATTGGCAAGCCCACAAAGTCATGAGGCCGAGGAGATTTCTTCCGTCCACATTTTTTCGTTTGCTTGATAGGCCGGCCTTGAGTAGAATTTTGACCATTCTCCAAGATTTCTGTACGAAAGCCACATCAAGAAGTCCGTACGACGAAGTACTCATTACGTCGACATGGGCACCGCGACCGATGAGCAGCTCTACAACTTCTATCGCACCTTGCTCAACTGCAACAAATAGAGGGGTGAAATTCTTGTCGTTAGTTGCGTTGACATCGGCTCCATGAATAAGTAGAGCATTTGCTGCTTTCACATTGTTCTGCGCGGCTGCCACAAAAAGAGGAGTCCGGCTCTGATGACAGATATCCTTCTGATTAATAATGGCACTGAGGGACTCAAGTCTTAAGGTGCTTTTGAAGATGAAGTCACCTGAAATATCCAGAAAGAATCTTCTGTGTATCAATTAGCCGCTTGCTGCTTCGGTGAAGTGTACGAGTTGCTTACGTGACTTCGCCACAACTCAAGGCCTTGCCCTGGAGTTTGGTCAACATTATTATGAGTCCATCTGTGTTACCCGAAACGAGAGGTATGTTGAGAATACTGCGTTGTTCATGTGCAAAGGATCCCCTCTCTGTAAGGTATACATCCAATAATGTAGGAAGAAGGCTGTTAAGATTGGGTCGCTCTAAGAAAAGGTCGAGAACCGTGCAATGCGTATCCTTAGTAGGATGGGCCATGATGGTTGAAACAGGCGCGCCCTTCCGAAATAGCCACATCATCACCTTGTAAGAACCTTGGGATATGGCCAAAGCTAATGGCGTCACAAGCATAGGAAAGGGCAGCTCACACTCCAAAGGGCAGCCGAGACCGTAAAGCTTCTCACAAGTCTGTACGTCATCAAGAAGAATAGCCCGATAGAATGCATATGCTAGAGCATTCATACCACATGACATTTGTGACAAGATGCCGAATCCATGTAGGGATTGAATGACCCCAGAGAATCTGGGTTCATATAAAATGACGGACAGTGCTTTACTGCTTGTCCAGTGTTCTTCCGTTTTGCAAAAAGGCAGGAGAAGAGAAACAGCCTCGAGGTGTAATCGAGTCGCTGCCGCACAGATAGGAGTCTCATGGTGCTTAGATGTGATTTTGAGCGCAGCATTTACGTTGCCTAAGTCAAGTAGTTCCTTCAAAAGCACCACCGAGTTCATCTCGGCGGCCAAATGCCACACGGTCCTGCCCAAGTTGTCGGTGTCAAGAATTGATCCACCAAAGCGCAGTAAAATTTAAAGAGCCTCGTAGGTGTTCTCCTGACAACACCTATGAACTGGTTTAAAGCCTTCTGGGCTTTCAGCACACGGATCTAGGCCGAAGGCTAACAATGGATCCAAAACTCGATACGATTTCTCCAATAATGCAAGATGAAGCCCATTCCAGCCAGGACGCTTGGGATCAATGTCCGTCGACTTTGCCACATCAGCTCTCGAAGTGGTAAGGAAAGCACTCATCCCAATTCCGTCGTTCAATTTGATCAGTGAATGGAAGTATTTGAGGACCTCTTCGCTACTGGCGCCATCAAGGGATTGTCCAACTGGGCACTGGGTTTGCCTTATTTTGCTTGCTTTCAGGATAAAGTCTGCGGTTTCCTGGTGAAGAACAAATCTAGGGCAACCTGGCGTAAGATTTTCGCCAAGCACCTTGAGAAATTGTGGAACGAGAGACCACATCAGAGAGCTATCGGATGTGAAAGCACGTATTTGCAGGCACCGATCATAACGAATCCGGAAGAGTTGCACATCGTGAGCCGTGATTGGCACACCAGCCCTAAGAAGCTCGATAATAATTTGAAAGTTGTTGGGGAATATTTCAGGGAATGATAAAGTGAGCGATATGATACTTTCTGATTGTAATTGGGATGTCAAGGGTGACGCTGAAACGTTCAGCAACAACTGGACTGTTTGTAGCCGAGCAAGGTGCGTACTATGAAAAGCTATTCGATCAGTAATGGGACCACCGGATACGACATCGTCGCTTCTTAAGTTCAGGAAACTATAAAAAAAAACCCGGCCGCCAAGGGCACAGTGTAATGGAGTGCCGAATCTGCTGCATGCCAGCACATCAGAGCCACTCTCCAGTAACTCTTGACATATGCCGTGCAGACTGAATGCAGCTGCCATATGAAGAGTGGTGAATTCGGGTCTGAGCACCGCAGTGATGACTTCCGATAGAATTCTTCTGGACTTAGAAGAGGCGTTTAAAGATGAGGGATGATGGCTGAATATAAAGTCAATTGCCCAAGGACAGAAGGAGGGCGTTTTGGATGGTGGTAAGAGCTTCCGCAGGAGTCTATGTGTCTCACTTCCCATCTTTGCCGGTTGCGTTGTATATGGCGTCCAGGTCAGTACTGATTTGCAGTAAAAGGTTCTGCGTCTGCGTTGAGCAAGCATGTCCCCGATACTACGTGTTACGTCAGGGGTCGGCGGAAATCGCTTCATGTCCTCCATAGTGAGAAAGCGTAAACAGAGGGAAGAAAAGAAGTTCACACCATCTATGCGCGAAACAGCGTAGTCTCTGAGCTGTGGATATTGATGATCAGAACTGCGAGTCTTCAAGGACTGAAGGTATTCTTGGACTGTAAAGTGGGCGAACTGGATTTTCATTTTGCCACCAGTGATGGAACTGGATTTGTTGACTCGAACAAGGCTACTGCACCATCGCAGCAATTCCTCTTCCTTTACAATCTCATCATCTTCGAGAGTCGTCGCACCGTCTTCCAGGGAAATGGCCTCGCAGATTTCTTCAAAGCTGAGTGAAGAGAAAGACGTTGCGAGCATTAATAGCGCCCCCTTGACTAGTCGTTTTACCGCGTCGTGGTAACCATCAATTCTTAGTAAAATCCGATCATAAGTTGCAGAGAGAGAAGGAGGGAGTTTGCTCAATGCCTCACGTCGAGCTCTGTCTGTTGGGAGTTCACACATGTAGTCCAGTTGGCAGGCTACCCAGCGAAACCTAGAGACCCTTCGATTAGAAGTGAGTGGTATCGGAGCAAGTGTGACTTACATTCCTTTCGCTTCCCCGGCCAACCTTGTCGTAATGAGGTCTTTTAGAGTTTGGTCACGAAGCCTCAGCCGTCTTGAAGCAATTCTTTCGCTGAGTTCCGAGGCGACATAGAGTTGCAGGTCCTCAGTATGAGCCTCAATTTCGACATGAGAAAAGTCCCTTTCCAGGCGTGTGCGTATAATGCGCTCGTCCCTGCTAAACAAGGCCATGTTGATCACTCACATTATCCCCTTGTGACATCGCAAGCTCGGCCAAGCACTTTATATTTGCCTCGACTCGATTGTCACACTCATCGATACCATCGACGATAATGTAGACGCGGGTAAAGCAAGCACAGATACGATGTAGTATTTGTGTGAGAATTTCGGCGGTGGGCTTTGTAGAGAGGTGATGATTTGAGAACAGTTGGTCGTGATACTCCTGTAAGATTTGGAAAGCGTTTTCGCTCTGCAAGGCGAGTTGTATGCAGAGAGAAGAGAGAATGGTGACGAGGTGCTGGGAGCGCTCGTGTCTACAGGTGCAGAAGAAGTATGCTGCCGCTTTGTGTGCATCATGAGCGTCTCTATACAAACACTCCTTAATCACGGCTGCAGAAAGAACAGACTTCCCAGCGCCAGGTATACCACTGCACCAGAGCCTTGAAGCTGGAGTTGAGTACCAGTAGTCAAACTCTGGACCTTGGGTGAGCCAAAGGCCGGTGAGGCAATGCCGTAGTCTATTGTTCGTCTCGTATTCGGCCCGAGGATTCACTTGGTCAAAGTCTTTAATAACTTGATTCCTTTTGGCATCGAGAGCAATCTTGACCTGTATATCCAAGATCTTTTCCGCAGTGCGATTGATCTTTTGGAGGTCATCCTTTATTTCGACCTGTTGGGTTAAGCAATCTTTGAGTTTTGCCAGAGAGTCGGCGGCAAGAGCTGTGTGGATGATCTGGTTGTAGCGCTGTATATCCTGGATCATTCCCATGGACTCGGTTGAAGTGAACGGCCATTTTAGTCGAGCTCGCAGTTTTTGGCGTCCAGAACCCGAATCTAAGGAGGCCTCTGTACGCGAAAGACCCGTCTCCAGGCGCCTCAGAAGTTGGTGGCAATGGTGGAGATAGTACGGTTGAAGAATAGGGAGCGGCTCGTGAACAGCAGCAGTTGGTTCGGGTGGTTCAATCTCTTCTAGGCCGAAAGCGACAAGGGAAAGGTTGTGCAAGATAACAGAGAGACTTTTGACCTCGCGGATGAGGTTCCCAACCTCTGTTGGTGCATCTCTGTAGCTCTTGACGTATTTGGTGCCTGAGCGAAAGACGAGATCGGCAAGAGCAACTAACCCAGCGATGCTCGCTGAGATGGAAAGAGGAGATAAAGACGGCAAGAATGAAGAAAAAAGAAGGAAAAACAAGAGCAAGAACAAGATCTGAACTTGCCCTGATTGATTGAAGAGAGGCGCATAATTTAGGTGCCCAACCTACCAACTTAGAAGCTGGTACGGGTTTCAGCTGCTGTCAGCTCAGAGAGCCTTACAGTCAGCCTGCAGACGCTGGTGTATTGCACAGCGACTCCATTGGAGCGAACGCCCGTTCATGGCGCACCCCAGCGCTGAAAAAAAGTGCCAAAGCCCCAAGTCCGTGGCCATTCGCACGAATTCAGCCTCCAAGCGTCGCTGCACGATGCGCGGTGCCAACAACGAGGCGAACTTTTTGGGACGATTTACCAGCAATTCGAAGCAATTTCCCAGCGAGTCAACTGCAATATTTAGTGTTATCATTTCCGCAGTTGGTCGTATTGGAATAATCGAAGCCGGCGCATCCTGCATTCGGGTAGCGAACAGCGCATTCCTCAAGCATATGAGCCTCATGGAATGCCCAATGTTGAGCTTTGCTGCTCTCCCAGCGACAGTGTATGTAAGCTTTGGTCAGATCAAGGTATCTTCGGCCGTGTTGAGTCAAAGACTCAAGTTGAACCACTCTCGCCGGGTGTGCTATCTACTCCAATAGATCAGAAACGAGACGCATCATTGAGGACCGTCTCGTTTTCCGTGTTTCTTCGTCTTTAATTTTCGACCATTCTATAGAAATTACACAAAAATGTCGCGAAAACGAACCACGGAACATAGGGTTACCCACCTCAGCCAATTGAATCAGAGACAGCCAGCCCTCTGCTTCAAGAGATGGCTCGGAGACCGACAATATCTATCAAGTAAATAGATCCGATACTAAATATGATGGCACAGGACATCTTTACTCTGCTTCTAAGGGAAATGTATTGGTTCTAGACAGCAACCTTGCCATCTGTACCTCAATCTTAATAGCTCATTTGGACTAATAACTTCATTGACGGGTGATCTGAAAGAGGTGATGGCTGCAGAAAGGGTGGTAACACCCGAAGAAGCTATCATGACTGTGCCTATCAGGACTCGTTGCAATACACACTTCATTCCCAGTTGGTCTCCGTGGCAAACTCTCTCAAGACAAGGACCATGTTTGACGAAGGCGAAGAAATAATTGAGCGTCTCATGGAGGCTGGGGCTGGTATTATATGCGAACTGTACTGCTGCGCATTGCGCTACATGAGTCTGGCTTATAGAACTTCTATCAAGAGCTGATCGATCAGATATGCCGGTATCTGATAGATATATGAGGACATATAGATGACGATTAGCCGATGAGGGTCAGAAGAAACCTCGATGGCATTGCATAGTATTCTTCGCTTTGAGGAAAAGCTAGCTGATATCGGGCCTTTTATGTCAAGGTCCCGAGTCTTCGGTTAGCTATCGCGGAGACAGAACTACGGTCTTGGCAACGCTAATGAGTTTACAATGGCCTACTCCCAAAGTCTGCCGATGGCGCGATTTTGTGGCTATATCTATGAACATTGACTTGGCTGTCCTATATATATTCTAAAAGCGCATTGTGAGTCATGCTTCGGTCCAAACCTGCAGAGCCTTTAACATGAACGATAAAGACACTATAACCTACCCGGACTTGGAGACGCAAGAGATTTCTCCGACTTCCGAAAAGCCCCGGATGGAGGATATGGCTTGATCGTTACGACGTCTGTGGCTATCGTTAACGACCATTCGTGGGGTATCAACGCAGCATATTCAGTTTTCCTCGCTCACTTCGTCAAGGAGAATACCTTTCCTGGTACAACACCACTTATGTATGCCATCGCTGGATCTCTCAGCGTAGGTATCATGATGCTCATACCACCGTTCGCAACTATCATGGCTAGAGAACTTGGTACGAGACCAACGATACTTATTGGGGCTATAGTACAGTCTGTCAGTTTTGTCTGTGCAAGCTTGTCAACTGAAACATCGCAACTATTTCTCTCTCAGGGAGCAATCTTTGGAATTGGGATGGGATTGTTGTTCTTACCGTCCTATGGGATTATATCGCAGTGGTTCACGAGACGAAGAGCCTTAGCTAATGGTATTGCCATCGCTGGGGCTGGTCTCGGAGGATTGACGTACTCACTTGCTACCGGAGCTATTATTCGCAATACGGGTTTGGAGTGGGCTTATCGGATTCTTGCAATCGTGTCTGCGGTGGCGAATATCTTGCACCCTTCTTATAAGAACTCGATACAACTCGCAAGCAACTAGGCTCGCCTTCGACACAAGTCTTTTGTACAGACCGGAGTATCTTCTTGTCTTGAGTTACGGCGCCTTCAGCATGCTCGGTTACTTCGTTCTCATCTTCACACTCGCCAATTACGCAAATGTTGTTGGACTCTCATCGCCACAAGCATCGATGATTCCAGCATTCTTCATGTTCGGCTAAGCCATCGGTCGGCAGTGCATAGGATGGCTAAGCGATCGGTTTGGCAGAATTAACCTCACCTTCATCATGTCATTCATCACCGGAATCTTGACATTTGCGATATGGATCAACGCAAAGTCATTTGGCGTGCTCCTGACATTTGCACTGGTCGGGGGTTTGTCAGCCGGTGTCTTTTGGGTCAACATATCACCCGTCCTCGTCGAAGTCACAGGCTTTGAGAATCTGGCCTCGGCGTTGAGTTGTCTTTGAATAGCTATGGCTGCTCCGTCGACGTTTAGCGCACCTATTGCTCTGGAGATTTATACAGGCACAGGGAGCTACTTAGGCGCGCAGCTGTTTACTGGATTTATGTACATTGCTGCATCTTTTTGCATACTTGGGGTAAGACAGTGGAAGATCGATAGCTTGAGAGGTGCGCAAGAAATGGCCTCGGCACCAGGAGAAGAGGGGAGCGATTTAAAAGGAAAAGGCTGGGCGATAAGCCTCTTGAGATTCGATTTCGTATGACTGTTAACTGGATACAAGATATCTGTAGTAATTTAATTGTGCCTGTAAGTCCTGTTCATGCAACTATATGTGCTATGCAGTCAAAGAGCGCATCTATCAGCACAATCGGTACAATGCTCAGAACGTCACTGCTAGTTGAAACTTGTTTTTGAACAGTATATAACCTTAAACAAATCAGATGATTAGGTACTGACAATACTCATGAGCTTGTCCTCAACCTAATCATAGTTCCTCAGCCATTCTTCGGCTTCTTGAACAAACGTGCCGTCACCCCAAAGATCCCTGGATCATGAGTCACTGGACATATGAACCTACTTCTTGTCGGTGATTCCTCCGTTGATGGTTTGAGTTTCTTTCGCTTTATGCAGTATCGCGTTCCAGTCCTTCACGACCTTTCCTAGAACAACTTCATGTCCATTCCGCGGAGCTGGCCCAAGGTCCCAGGTAGTCACAATAGTACCATTGGGTAGGGTCATCGTCTCCTTGCGAACGGCACATATCCTGGCGATGAGGAAAGCCAGCATAAGTCCCGTGCCAGCCAGGATCGCCTTTGGGTTGGTTTTTGCCGCCCAATTAGCTATTCCCTCCCACAGTTCTTAGCCATCAGGTCCACCGCCCAACTCGTCACCAAAGAATGCATTCAGAAGTTCTTCGATCTTCTGGTCTGCAACCGCAACTGTATCAGCTTCAACCTCCGTAGCCATTGGCATGTCGATCTTTTGTTCCTCCGGACCAAACTTCCAAGACTAGCAGTCCCCGTATTCAACACTTCCATTGTTGGCTCCTCCCCACTTGGTTGCACAAGCAGTGACGTTGGAATTGGGATCATAGAAGAACGACTGGCTTGAGTCCCACATGTCTGTACCAAACAGGGTGTTCTCAGATAAGAAGAACTTGGTGTCAGTAGATATACCTGTCGATGAAAGGTCCACTGTAACAGATGTATCTATACGAGAAGTTAGACTGTGAGATCAATAGCGTATGCTCTGTTGCACCTACTGATAGGCAATCTGTACTTGGACTCGTCCTTCTTCCTTCCGTCCCAGACTGTTTCGCCAGGGTTGCCCTCCTTTCTGAGCTGTGGCCAGATAATGCAGGCGATACCGGCATTGCGGAGTTTGTAATACCTAATTCCGATCGCGACCATTTTGCTTGAAAGAAGTAGTATGTACTGCGATGAACAGAGCAATAGTTTGTAAAGTGTAGTTGTTGGGGGAAGGACAATGCTTAGATCAATGCAGGCTTTAAGTACTATAACAGACACCGTTTATGATATCAGAGAAACTCACAGTGCGGCGATGTTCTTTGCGAACTCGAGTGGATTGGGAGGCTGGACTACGGCATCCCCGGCATCGCAGGACACTGCAGATCAACTAGTCTTTCGATACATCATTGCTTGCTCAGCCACTTTCAACAGCTGAAGACCCCTGAGTAGCTGAACTGCCGTGAACTGCTGATCTAAGTCGTTAATTAACAGGATTGAGCTCCATTAATACTGTAGGGAACTTTGGTTGTCATACGATGAGGAGCAATTGTCTTGGAACTTCGGACTAGCCGACTCACATTGGCTGGCTGATGTTTTAAACAGGAATAGTAGGATAGTAGCCGCAGGCTGAAATGTCGTAGCTTACCAATGTATCCAATAATGCTACCGTTTTATTTGGTGTCAATGAACTATTGACGGATAGTGCGGGCCAACCCCTGGCGGCGGTAGCTAAGCCTTGGTCTAGAACGTCTTATGCATATACTGAATTATTCACTATCACATTTGCAACAAATCCATCTTATGATAGCCTACTTGGCGCTTAGGATCAAACCTGATAGGTCGAAAACGAAGATGGAACTGTATTGATTTGGTACTAGGCTTTGGAAAGGCGTCCTGCGAGTGTTCACGGTGACTACCTCAACATCCTGACGAGATGGGCAAGTTCTAAAGCTACTAGCTGTGATACAAAGTGTCTCAAGTTCGATATCGTATAACGGACCATGAAATACCAACGCCTGAACCCTAATATTAATCTCGCCAAACCTTTATGCCATCCCATTAAAGTCATTAAAATCGAAGAACCCATTCGCACCCATCATTGACTGATCCATTCCCAAATACCCCATATCTATATATGTCGCAACATCCGGCACGCCTGAATCAACAGATTTGAACCACTCATCCGTAAACATTCCTTGATCAATCGTTTCTCGCGAAGCTTGTGGATCAGGCGCCGCAAGCAAAGAGTCGATCTGGCATGCAAAGAAACGAGCAAGATCATAGTAAAGATGGGCAGATGATGATGCTGGGAGATGTTGTACCACGCGGTCGAAGAATGGAATAATACTGATGACCTTTTCTGCAGCAGCGGCTGTTTCTTCTGTAGTGATGCCGCCTTTCTTTACTGCCTGGATACCAAATTAGTGGTGTTCAAAGACCTGAGAAAGAAAGAGACTTACCCGCAGTACCTCAGTCATAGCGTGGCAGATCATAATGAACTGGTTATTCTGAAAGCCAACTGAGACGTCGTTTATAGTTTTGTCTGTTACCAAATGGTCAAAGATACGACCAGCAACTTCAATGCTCTTCCTCTGAATAATCAAAAGTGCAGATGCTGCAGCACTATCTTCAGAGGCGGTCAAATCTCGCAATGCCTGAGCATTAAAGACCAGGATACTGTGATCCATATAGAAAGCTAGGATAGGGAGATATTTCGAAGATGGTAGGTCATCGGATTGACAGCGTTCGTTGCGAACGCGGGTTAGGCGCTCGTAAGCTTCTTTGTGCCACTCTAGGATGGAAGCTGGTGACGAGACTATATGTCTACGTTTCTCCATTGCCTGGAGCTGTGACAAGGATTGTTAGCGGGATGTCGACCGCGTCAGTATTGAGCTTACCAATAACCCCCTAATCTCGATGACTCCACTGATGATACGGTCTGTTGGTTCTGCCATAGGTGATTTCCACCAATCTACTGCAGTACGAGGTACTGCCCTCCAGCTCATACACTGCAAACGACCATTGAGGGCCCCGAAGCCTTTATCTACGATAAAGGTGTACAGCCACGCTCTTTCATAGTTTCTGGAATACCTGTCGGTCAGCTCTGGGGAAGCATTCGGAAATTCCGCATTGACATATTCTTTCACAACGTCTGATCTGTTAATTCCCATCTCTTTGGCTAGCTGAACAGCCTGCAAGGAAGTCAGCACATATCTGGATATATGGAATGATATCAAGATACTTACATGGCTTAGTGTTAGCCAGTATGGATCATCTGCTTGCCTTGCAGAGAGAGGGGCCCAGTATTGGTAGGCGATAATGGCTTGGATAGTTGAGAGGGATTTCACCGAGGCGGCGATACACCACCTGATATTTCCGCTGGCTAATGATGATAGAACTGGATATATGGCTCGGTCGCGAGGACGTGCTGAGACAGCACATCCAAGTGCGCAGATGACGGAGAATAAAGTGAATGAGCATCCGTAGACATACTCGCGGGTATGTAATGTGGCGTCGAGAAGGCCGATCAGAGGATGGCGAATCTGGAAGAATCTTTGCTATCCGTCAGCATCATGGCGACACCACACGTGAGTTTTGACATACAGTTGGAAGTATAATGAAGCGTCGTTGTCATCGATCAGTCTTGAAGCAAGAGGATCGCAAGTGTCTCTCTCTAACTTGAATGGGGAGTCAACAGCTTGAGTTGCCAGAACCTCCCAATCTTTTTGCTGTGCTCTATGTGAAGCTGATACGAGTTAGATGGTGGATTGAAGAGGTATTATTTAGCTTACCAAAATACAGGGCGAGCCTTTCTTTTATTGGTGCCATGATGGCCTCACGCATACCCGGCTGCATCGGCATCTGAGATCTAAGTCTGTCACAAGCTGCAGAGGAACTCATAGAGATAGCAGCGGTGACCATAGTTATGGGGGACACCAAACCATCTGCATCATCGCTCTCGTCATAACTGACAGAACGCCGATGAGTGACAGAACGCGACGATTGACTCGTATCGTGGCCATAGTCAGGCGCTGAATCAGTACCCTGTCTATGTGTCCACGGCGTTCCTCTTATAGACACTGTTGTATTTGGACTGGGGAGGGTTTGTCCCAAAAGAGCTGTGAGGACTTCCTCGCGAGCACCGCTTTCTTCAATGCGAGCGAGCAGCTTCTCTACGCTGTCTGGTTTGCTGTCATGCGGGTTAGAACTGCCTCAACAAAGAGTTAGAATCTTACTTCGTGCTACCATGCTTACGACCCCTATTTGAGCGAGCTGGATATTTACAAATGCGATCATGAGAAGAGCAGCGAGAACTAATACTGCCGTGTCAGCCTCGTGTGAACATGGTCAAGGCTAGACCGACTTACCAAGGATCCTGGCGATCGCACTTCTGCCTCGATGCACGGCAGCTAAAGCATGCAACCTGATGCTGCTGCACCTTTTCAGCTGGAGCATCCATTTCGGTAATCTCTGTGTCGTTGGGGGTGGACCTGGGGGGGAATTGTTAGTCGCCAAGAGTGAAATGCGGGATGTTCGGCGTCTTGTAAAGTGGTCGCTGTTTTGATCTAGACCCCGGTAGTATCCACACGTGATCGTCCTGAGTAATCAGTCACCAGAGCATTCCCCGGAAATGGATTGTAGGAGTATAAACGGCGAATGGCCTTTATTAAAGAAATACAGTCGTATGATTATTAGTAGGTGAGCATTCAATCTTAATAAAATCTTGGAGAAGAAAACTACGGTTTATGTCATGAATTGATCTGAAGTAGAGCTGGAAGCTATTTCATCCGAAACTCAGGCATTTGTCAGCTGGAATTTATACAACCTCAGAATAAAGCAGAGAAGTGAAAGAATACCAATTGATATTAACAAGAATGCTGCTTGATCTTCTTTAGTGAATACCGAATAGCAGTATTTTGTCCCAATATTCTATAGATGCTCTTTTCCAGACACAGCGCAAGAGGCTATTGTGATATCCCCTTTCATACGACGACAATAAAACAAGGCGAAATACGGCGGTGGTGTGTCTAGAATCGTAGATCTTCCTAGAATCATCTCCGAAAGTGGTGCTGCATTGTTATGGGGGTTCCTGAAAATTCCGTGCTCCAGAATGCTCTCCCTAATACCCTGGCCTTGATTGAAAAGACCATGAATGAACTCCCCAAATTCTATGGGAGTGCGATGCTAAAAATGAGACAGCAAAGAATAGTAGCAATCAAAGGTTTCAGAAGGAACGAGCAGGGCAAAAAGCTTGTCTGCCCCTTCTGAGATTTTCGCCATTCTAAGAAAGCCGCATACTCCTCGTTAGACATGGCGACGTATCTAAGTCTGTCGCCATGGCTCATATAGATATCCTCCAGCGTCCACTCACTCTCCTTTGAAGGACCGGTAATTGCCCCCATTAGACATAGAAGCCAGTCGTGGAACTCTTCCCAATCCATAGTGTCGGATGGAAGAGTGCTGAATAGGTGACAATAATGCTGGTGAATGCGGATACTCTGACAGGGAAGACGGGGCGAAATGTGGCGGAATACAAGACAAGTGTTGAGGCTCCCAGGTTGGACTGCAAAGTGCAGAGATGGGTAAAGTGAGAAGAGTAAATCAAATAGCAGATCGGTGGGCTATGAGAAGGAAAGAAACTCAGTTGAGGTTGGGGAATTGGAATGGTGTTTACGGCCTAACCTGAACAGTGGCAAGACTTTGCTCTTTTGACGTTGGCTAGAATGTATGTAACTTTCTCAAGCTGCTACCAGATAGTGAATCTTACGTAGAACAATCAATGATTGACGAGTATCGAATCATTCAATGACTTGTATCTCAAAGACTTACTGTTCAACCAGGTACACAACAGAGAGCCTATTGTTTGGGCTGCTTAAATGATGTAATTCCGAGATCTCATCCAAACAGTATATGCCCAAGTCGCAGTGAATGAGACAGATCGCTTGAATTGATCTGCCATCGTCATAAGGTGCCTGGGAGGTAGCCAAGCTACTACGTTATCTTTCACCCGATTATTACATCACAACAAAGAGCTCAAGCAAGTCATTCAGTGAAGTTTGTTCGCATAGGCAGATGTGCTACTCGTTTTCGTTCCGAGAAGATGACAATCGTTATGTTGAAGTTCGTGTTAATGGGAGACAAAGAATAGCAGAATATTAGGGCCACTACCAGCCGCACCATAACATGGAATTCGGTGGATTCAATAGCCTGTTTACGATGGTGGTATGCTTTTAGGTCCCCGATCAAAGGTGACAAAGCCTCTTCTTTGTCCGAGGTATCTTAGGGAATTTCAGCGCTTGAGAACAAAGAATACAATAATGACCAGTCCCCAATCATCTTCCTTTCAATCATAGGTATCCATGCCCGCCCCCTGGTGAACTCCCATACCCTCCAGCCGGCGCCAACCCGCCACCATGCGTTGTCCCCGAAACACCACCATAAACTCCCCCGTTAACACCTCCATTTGGTCCTCCACTAACGCCAAAATAAACACCGCCGTTGACACCACCGTACAAGCCGCCATGCGGTCCACCGACGCCTAACGATCCATTGCCAGAGCTGTAGCCGACTCCGTAACCGTACTTGTCTTTATCGCCTGATGGTCTGGGACTGCCGTCGAATTTGCTCCCTTGGAGTCTTGATGTAGCTTCTGGTGTTCTGCGCCCAAGACTTGTTGGCCGTGGAGGCGGTAGATTGTCCTTTTCGTCTTTGTCTTTTGAGAAGAGATTGAATAAGCACATTTGTAGAAATGATAGGTTGTAGTATAGATATCTGAGCAGATAATTGCTTAGGGATAGAGTTCGATTTGTGAGATTTTAGGTTTTTGTTACTGAAAGTTTGAGACAAGGAACAAGATTAAGAAAACGCGTATTTAGGGGTAGAGATTGACTTTTAAAACGACAACGGGGAATATTTAGAATTAAGGTTTGCAGTCCCAGACGCGCGTTCAGCGTTAAAAAGCGGGCTTTAGTGGCCGTGTGAGCCAACTACGGCCAATGGGATATGCCGTTACAGCGCTTGGACGGCACCGCCACTAATGCTGGGACTTTGTAGGCGCCTGATCTAGCACAGCCTGAAAAGACCCTGCATTCAGCTCTTGCGACACGCATGACACGAAAGCATTACGAAGCAGTTAGTATTGAAGTCATTCACGAGACTTACATATAATTTTAGTTCTTACGAAATGATTTACTGGATCTGTCTTGAGGTCTCAGATCTATCTCTGACTGCTAGCATTATTAGAGCGCCATCGCCACGAGCAATCCGTAGTCAGCCGCGAGAATTTAACCTTCTCATCAGAACTACATCTGTTTTCGTATTCACGCATCGTATTTACAGTTCTTGTGCAAGAATATGCAGGTGCCATTTCGCAGTCAGCAATTTATTGCGACTCTCCTACAAAACTCGCACTGCCAGGCTTGTATCATAAAAGAATAGCCCTTCAAAGCACCTGTAGTACACGCTTCATCTCATCACTAGAAAGCTTTCCAGCATACTCGCGAGCACTGCCAAACTGTCCCTTCATATCTGGATCTGCGCCTTGACTCAACAGCCATTTCAACCTTTCAATAGCGCCCGCCATGACAGCGTTGACAATTGGATACTGTGCCGTCACATGGGGCGAGATTAACTTATCGTTCACCTGCGCACCGCTCTTTACCAGCAATTCCATGACAGGAATCCTCGACTCATCAAATTCTTTACTGGGCGTTACAACTCCAGCATGAGGATTTGATCCTGGCGGATAGGCGCCGGCTGCATAATACAATGGCGCTCCATTGCCAATTTTAGCACCAGCGTTGAGGAGTTTCTGCACCGTTTCGACGGTGCCTATCTCTGCTGCAATCTCGAGTGCTTCGCAGGAATTCAATTCAGGGCCGCCAAAACGGTCGCGATTCTCCTTTTGTTTTCCAAGATTCGGATCTGCACCGTTCTCAAGAAACCAGTCAAGAAGATCACCGTTGCCCGAGCGAATAACGGATGGTAGTAAGACAGCTCCGTAGAAGCCAGGCGTATTCACGCTCCAGCCGTGCTGCAGAAGCAGTTCAAACAAGGCCTTTTGCTCGCCTATTGGGGCCGCCAAAGCCCATGATGGAGTTATTCTTGTGATAGGTGCTCCATAGTCAAGTAAATAGCGCGTAACATCAACCTTGCCACTACCCAATGCATTGAAAAGACCTTCGTGGAGGAAGGCTGGCGTGCGAGATTTAGAGGTAACGATGGACTCGACAGTAGACAGGTCACCTTCTCGACAAGCCCTGCTGAATTGGACAAAATCGGGCTGTGAGGAAGCAAAGCCGTTAAAAAGCATGAGATCTTTGGGCTCAGTGATGGGAATGTCATCGTAGGAGGCGCCCATACGATTGCCCGCGCGTCGCTGTTCTGGTGTCATTTGCTGTAGCTCGTCGAATTGGCGCTTAGCCTGGGCGAGGACGATTTGCACTACTGCAGGCGGCATGTTTTGTTGCTGTTGTCGCATCGTCGCCTGTCGGCTCCTCCATGCGAGAGCTTCTTGAGTTTGCCCTGACGACATTGTTCTGGTGGCTTTATTCTTGGTCCGTCAACTTTAGTGATGACAGGTTCAGCATGACGTTGCGCATAAGGCTGAGGATCTGCTCGTTTTGTGCTGATCCCAGCTGACGTAATGCTGCTCGGACTTGAGTTATTAACCCCTACTAATAAGGCAGTGAAAGACAGCATTCTTAAATCCTTTTTTGCCTTGAAAAGTAAGAGATAAGAGATGATTTGTTTTACTATTGATTAGAAGACTAGAAAAGCTGCGTGCAATATTACAACATAGTGATGTCGTTTGCTGAATGTGTACTGAACAATGAGCTCTGGGCCTCTGGAGTCCTCCCGTCGCCTGGATACGCGAATACACGCTCGGAAAGAATTCTTAGAAAGAACCCGTAAATTCATGTCAACTTTCTAAAACTGTACGATGAATGAGGCTAGTGCAGCCATAAATATGATACCCAAAATACGGACAGCACTTGATCCAGCCTCATTAGTTTCCTTTGGTGCCGCAGCACCCGTTGAAGTGCCAGCTGCCTTGATCTCTGTACTCCTGGCCTCAGTTTCACTTCCCGTGGTTTCAGAAGCACTAGAATTCTCTGTGGTCGTGGCTTGAGATGCTGTTTCAAGCAGCTCCTGACCCTTGGTGATGACGATTGGCAGCGTACCAAACTTAAGCTCAAACTCTTTCGTGATACTCCCAAAACCAGTCGCAACGTCAGTAATCCCGTCTTCCCCAGTCTCCTTCGGAAGCGCCATGGTCGTACATGTTTGAGGCGTGCCGCTGCTTACAAGGCATTCAACAGAACTGGCGCCGCCCAGATCATTCAACGCCAGCATCCAATGGAATATGCCCGTTGAAGCCGCGCCAGCTGGGACAGTCTTGCTTGCCCATGGTCCGATTACAATGGAGTTGTTGTACCCGGATGATTCGCATGCTGCGGAGACTTCGTCAGGGCAGTATAATTGTATTGTAGTTGCTGTTGGATTGGCGGCAATGACTACGGCTGATGGCGTTTGTTCTTTGTAGAGAGCTAGGGGAAGTATGAAAACTGGTGTGGTGAGTGCTGAAGACATTTTATTTATAACGAATGACGATGGGTAAGATGTTGGCGATGAAGAGTCTTGAGTGGCATGGCCAGGCTTTAAGAGAAACACTGGGCGCATGGATCTCGGCGAATTCTTGAAATGGAAAGTCAACTGAGATTATGGTTGGTCAATTCATGGTACAAAGAATAGGAGCCTGCTAGGGCTGAGTTTGGCTGGCAATTTCGGGTGGTTAAAGCCGGCTAATGTGATATTTCGTGATCAAGCGGAATTCCGCTCTGATACATGCTCTCAATGTAATTACCGTGTAATATATCAGCCTCCCACTGCGATTAAAGATGAAAAAAAAAAAATCCTCAGAAATGGCATCTTAATAGTTTATGATAAGGGAAGCAATCGCAGCCATGGCCGCAACGCCCGCAACACAGCCAGAACTCGATCCAGCCCCGTTCGTTTCCTCCGGCGACGATGTATCAGTTGCAGTTGATGTTGCTGTAGCTTCCCCAAGTAGCTCCTGGCCAGCCGTGATGACAATGGGCATGTACGTAAAATGCGTTTCCAACGTCGCGAGGTGAATCATGTTCGTCGCAGTTTCAGTGACTGTGTTTGCATAAATATCTCCATCCTTCCCAGTTCTGGTTTGCATCCCTGTGACTAGGTGCGTGCATGTCTGAGGCATGCCACTACTCACAAGACACTCCACAGAGAGGGCTGTCCCCCAGTAACTATTAGCAAGATAAAAATGAAACGTGCCTGTCGATGCTGAGCCCTCTGGAACGGCAGTCCTAGCCCATGGTCCGACGACAAAGGTGTTGCTGTATTCAAATGGACAATCGGATTGGACGGGACATCCCAATTCGATGGTCGTCGCTGTAGGATTAACGCTTATAACCGAGCCTGTCGGAGTGTGTATCATGTACTCTTTTGCGTCGTAAATGAACAAGCTCGGGGTGACTGGTGGGGAGGTTTCAGTTGCGATTTTCCGTCGCGAAGCAGAGATCTCGCTGGCGTCCTATGTAGGTGTAGCTTGGACATCAGTTCCCAGCTGCTCCAGGCCCGAGGTGAGGGCTATTGGCAGCAGAATGGTATCAAACATGTGCTCCGTCTCCGTCCAAGTCCAGCTCTGGGTCGTCCAACCCTTCTCTGTATCCTGTAGATGACGATGAAGGCCAGTGCATGTCTTACGTATACCAGAGCTCATGCGACACCCATACGACAATGTCTCCCTTTCAACCTCCTGACGCCATCTAAACGTTCCAGTGGAAGGTAGTCCTTCTGGAACGACTGTACTGATCCATGGCCCAACCACGAAGGTATTGGTATAGTCCTGGCTACATTCGATCTTCTCGTGGCTTGGGCACGCCAGCCCGATTGTTGTTGCGGTGGGATTTGCGTCTATGACTGAACCTGTTGGTCTCACCATAGTGTAAATGGCCATGGAAATGACATTGACGGTTGCCGTAAGAGTGGATGACATTTTGAAAAGAGATGCGGATGAAGCAAAAGTAATCTTAGACGCGGCTGAGCTGGTACTGGGCATTAGAAATATCCGACTGAACCTCTAAGTTTTGTAGACAGAAAGCCATGAAGCTGTCGGTGATTTCCAAGAAGGGAAGCTCGAATATCATGATTTTCGTTGGTTCATTCAACGCCAAGCAAGAAAAAGCCACTGCCAAGGTTGTGATGTATTGATGGTTAAAGTCGGATAATCGTCCGAATAGAGACAAATTGAGTCTCTTTCGGGCACGTTGGCTCCCTCCCGACAGATGAGAGTTCACATGTCAATAAAACCACACAAGTCCGAAAATTAAAGGCCTATGTGGCCAACAAGTTCATTTGTCTAATGTGAGGCGTGAAGTCCTCCTCTGTTGTATATTTGGTGCCGTTGATCAACAACAGAACTTGACTTCTCGACAGCTCTTGGGGAACATTTGGCACTCATCGATCATACAGATTCTACTGCCTTACCAGATCTTTCACAAGAAATAGAAATGTTCTTCACCTTCTCGCTCCGATGTAGAGTCAAATTTCCAATTTCTAGGAGTCATTATGCATGTCATTGTTAATCTCTGCCCTCTGTGTTACTAACTCGGCTCAGCAACAGCACACAGTGATTCTAAGCTATATGATACCCTTTCCTCTCCTGTAAGCTCCCACTTGTGTGAATAACCTATTCAATACGCTAATGTTGATAATGTCTCCTCAGCGAGTAGGATTCATACCGCTTTCGAATAAACTGATATCTCTAAGTTCGATATGCTAGGATAAGGCTACAAGCTGTCAAACATGAGTCTCAATTCTAAACAATAAGCCATACTTATTAATTAGACGTTATATAAGAATGCCCGATAAGTTGCTATAGAATATATCTGATATCATGAAAGCTTACCAGATGACTGAGCTGGTGGCTCAAATTGAAATTCAGCCAGGTCTCAGATCCTTTCAACGTGAACTTACACCTATCTCATATGGAAAACAGTCTCCAACAACGAGATTATTCGCTATAATCTTACAATTGCCGAGATATCATGGGAAGGAAGCAGACTTTCTTCGTAGTACTTCGACTGGACTGGATTTGCCGCATACTAAGCTACTAAGTCAATCCACACCCGCGTTATACTCGAACAGTCAAGTTCCACTTTTGTAGCGACAATACCTCGGGAGCAACGGCCATCGAGGTACTAGAGATGAATGCAGTAGAAAATACAAATTCATAATCTATATTTCCAATTGAAGCGCTTGATACCATACAAAGCAAGAACTCTCTTGAACAGCCAATTTCAAGGTGTGATCGGGATAATAAAGATAAGCCCGCAGTGATTCTTATCACCCAATCACCTGCCTCGTTCTTATCGTGACCATTCAACCATTTAATGTCCTGTTACCCCAGACTTTCGCCCTCCAACCCAATTGCCCGCTTCAATTGACCGATACCGATACTCATGTGATCACAGAAGCACATGACAGGGAAACGATCACGCAAAGGTTGTGGTGAGTGTAGAAAACGAAGGCGTAAGTGCGACGAAGTGAAGCCGAGCTGCGGTCAATGTGTCTCGAATCACCGGAGCTGCAAGTATGAGTTGAGGCTCGTTTGGAGCCAAGGAGTACAGAACAGACCAAATGGTAAGTTATGCATACCTCAGAAATGGATTTAATATCATCTAATGACTCCATTGAATAGGCTCAAGTAGTTCAATAAGTTTCAGTGGCAACCTGAAGCTCGGTACAGAACAGGATAACCCAGTATCATCAATACCAGAGTCCCTGCCAAATGGCTTGGCGCTCCCAAGGCGGTACAAGAAGTTGCTGCATCATTTTGCCGAAGGTGTTCTAGCATCGTTATCGAGTCACCCAACCATTCACGATGACTTTCGCCGTGGCCTTATGCCCACCATGCTCGAATCTCCTCATCTCCTCTCTGCCAGTCTGGCACTGTCAACCGCAAGCTTTGAGTCAAGGGGCATGACAGAAGTCGAAGGAACGAGCACATCTCGAATAATGGAACATTTGCAATCTTCGGGCCTGCCTTTGCTGAGATCAGCATTGGCTCAAGGGCAGCAGAGTGAAATTCTTATTGCGACATGTCTGATCTGGTGTCTGGCAGATGTCTTTTCCGGACAGCAGGGGATGTTCAGGTGGCCGATCCACTTGCAAGGCATAAAAGCTCTTCTTCACGGTCGCCATGATTATCGGAGATTTGTGGCTGGTGACATGGCCTTGAGATCTGCGATGAAGCATCTCTTCATGCTGTATCGGAGTTTGGAGACACTACCACACGTGCCTAAAATAACATCGGAGAAGGCTAATCTGATTGTCCCCGCGAATACGGCATACAATCATCAGATTGATGGCTTTCTCGGATACAGCGAAGAGCTTCTCGACATATTGCAGCAAATCAATGCATCTACACCAGGGTCAGCGCTAAATGACTCTTCTATAGATGCAGATACCTTACTTGGTAAGCTGAACGCTATGATCAGGCGGGATGTCAAGTCGCCACCAGGTGTCTCGATATCATCTCTTTCATCACAGTCAGGTCGTGAGTTTGCACTCTGCAACAAAGTCTTCCAACAGGCGACATTGATTCAGCTATATCGACAGTTATACGGCCTTCCCTCGTCATCACAACTTATACAGGATGCTGTTCAGACTATCAGCGGAATGATCAGCAACATGGCCCAAGGCGAGCCATGTAACACTTGGGTCGCAATGGCCATGCCCCTGTTCACTGTTGGTTGTGAAGCTTACAAGGAGGAACAGAAGACTTTCATCCTTGATAAGATACACAAGCTTGAGATTTGCATCGGGTCATTACATGTCAAGGTAATTGAACAGGCACTCAAAGATATTTGGAAGATCAGAGAGGACTGCAACGATTTTGAGGGATACCTGTGTGCCAGCCATTTACTAGGTAAGTCTCTACTTCACTGTTCATCAAGAACATAGCTGACCCAAATTGAATAATTAGAAAAGTTGTCATATAATATTGTTTTGTTTTGAAAAGCGTCAACTATGAATCAAAAGCCCAGATCGAAATACATCTAGTATCCACACCATTCCATATGTGATTCATATGTCTTCGATGCCTCACTTTCTCGTTGAGGCATTCTCCACGATCTCATAATGTCTTTAGCCATGGCTAGTTTACAGCTCTTCTTCTTTCTTACCCTCAACCATTCGGCTGAGAGGTCCCTTCTTGACCATGATAGACATGACCTCGTAGAGAACATCAGCAGCCGCCATGGTTGTGTGCTCAGCGTTGGTGTCGTAGGCAGGCTATACGCATTTGTTAGTCCAAGCTCTGGATCTTCTCATATTGATCTAACTTACAGCAACCTCAACAATGTCTGCAGCAATGAGGTTCAAGCTTTCCAGTCCCCGGATAATAGTTCGGAGCTCTCGAGTTGACCAACCTCCAGTCTCAGGAGTACCGGTCGCAGGGGCGAAAGCTGGATCTAAAGTATCGATATCGATGGACAGATAAACAGGGCGATCGGTACCGACGCGCTTGAGAATCTTCTCAATGATACCGTCAGTTCCAATGGTGTCGATCTCTCGAGCTTCCACAATCTCGAAGCCACAGTAGCCATCGTTATCGTAGTCGCTTGGGCCACTTAGGGTAGTTCTGATGCCAGCGTGAATGTTCGTGTCATTGCGGAGCAGGCCTTCCATAGCTGCATGGTAGAAGTACGTGCCATGGTTGATGGCAGCGACCTCTGAAGGGGATCCACCAAAGACCTTGGGCTTCCCTATTCATCTGTCAGCAATAGCTAGAGAGTCAAGACATGCTAAGACATACAAGTGTCGAGATGACTGTCGAAATGAATGACAGTCACAGGTCCGTAGGCACGGTTGATGGATCGAAGGAGAGGCAGAGTGATAGTATGGTCACCACCAAGGGTGATAACTCTAGGAAGAGTTCGGCTCTTGAGGGCTGGACCAGACTTGTCTGCATCTGTGGCTGGTGGGCGTGACAGGAGATTATAATGGCCTTCCTCGATCTGTCGAAGCGCCCACTGGTTGTCATACCTTCTAGCCATTAGGACAACGATACATGAGCTTAAAGACTACTTACGAGGTGACCGGAATGTCACCACAGTCGAGGACTGTGGCCCAGCTGTTGAAGGGGTTGGTAGCCAGAGGCACATTGTAACCTCCACTACAAAATGAGTTAGGCTTAGCGACGGTAAGGTAATGGGGGACTGGCTTACTAAAGATTGAGTCGTCGAGAGCCTTGTCGGATACCAGAAGGTCCGAAGCGAGCACCAGGTCTGTAAGAAGTACCTGTATCAAACGGAGCACCGATGAAAGCAATGTCATACTTGATGCTGTTTGCCTTCAAGCATGGCTGATATGGCAGACGTCCGAAGGTGCTGATACCGGAAAAGACGGAGTCGGCCTAGACTTGATCAGCCTAATTTGCCACAACCAGATTTGGGATACTTACCTGAGTGCCGCCATCGCCGGGAAGGGTGTTGTACCAGAGACCTTGGTGAGGACCTGACATGGGCTCTTGGTCATGGCTATGGTCACCATGGGCGAGAGCCACAGAGGCAAGGCTTAGTGAGAGGAGGGACTTGTACAACATTCTGAGGGGAATTAAGAAGGATACTGTTGCGAATGTTCCATCTGGTAGATAGTAGACTCATAGCGAGTATTTATGCCATGGCACAGCTCGGCTTCCGGAGACACTCAAATCAGGATCACAGTTACATTCATGCCAACCACTGGTCCATCATTCCACCAACGTAATTCCATTTGACTAACAAACTCCTCTTTCTCCCAAGTGATATCATCATCAAAACCCCCTGCGGAAACCATCACCACTTACAACCTCAAAATCAACGGGCGTCCTCGAAGCGCGTAGATATCTAAAATAGGCTAGTCTGGGGTAAATTCCTCGATGCAGCTAGAATCAGATCGGCACCCCGCAACCTCCGCATTCTTATCGTGGCTAAGTTGCCGGATCGAGTAAACCTATGATACGTGCTGATAAGCTTCTTGTGCGACGATGAATTCTCGTTGAACGTTTGGTATTGTGTTACGTTGGCGGAAGTTGATGATCGCGAGGTTGCAAATCCCGCAGACTAGAGAAAATGGCGCGTTGCAGCTGAATATGCCGACATCCCACCATGACTGCATGCTTATCAGTAGTTCTGTGTTGGCAAAAGTTTTACCAAATTGTAATAGTGCCTCTCACCTGTTATGAATGGTAAAGAGTGGTGGCCGAGTTCAAGTAATTGAGAAGTCCTGTTGATTCGCTTCAAGTCTGGCTGACGCTTGCTGAGTCTTGAAACCTCTCGTTCCATCACCGACACCAACGTCCAACGGAGTCATCAAGAACACACAAACAGCAAGCAAAATGGCTCCTCAACCTCAAACCCGTCGACCTCACTTCGAGTCCTTCCCAGACGAGGAAACCCCTCTGATCCCACCGACCCATGACCCGTCAATCGAGCCCAAGAGTCGCTCGCCTTGGCTCGACGAGACTGTCATACTCGTCAAAGCCTCTGTACCGGTCATATTGGCCTACATGCTCCAAAACAGCCTTCAAACAGTCTCTATTCTCATGGTTGGCCGTCTTTCACCCAAATCACTTGCAACCGCTGCCTTCTCCTACATGTTCGCCATGGCAACAGCTTGGCTGATTGCTCTCGGCGGTACTACCGCCCTCGATACGCTCGGCTCGAGTACCTATACAAGTTCGAAGAATAAACACGACCTGGGAATACTGCTGCAGAGGGGCTTGTTTGTCTTGTCGGGCTTCTATGCGGTGGTCGCTGTTATATGGTGCTTCTCTGGATACATCTTTCGGAGCCTTGGACAGGAAGAGTTTATCTGTGTTCAGGGACCCAAGTTCTTGCAGTTGCTGATACCTGGTGGTCTTGGCTATGTGTGGTTTGAGGCGATGAAGAAGTTCCTTCAAGCTCAAGGGATCTACCGCCCGGGCACCTATGCATTACTCGTCACCTCTCCTCTCAACGCTTTGCTCAACTACCTCTTCATCTACCCTCTCGGCTTCGGGCTTTACGGATCACCCATTGCCACTGGTATCTCGTACTGGCTCTCCTTCTTTATCCTGGTTGGCTATGCCACTTTTGTCAAGGGAGGCGAATGCTGGGGCGGTCTTGAGCCACGTCGAGCTCTTCAACATCTTGGTCCCTTTGCAAAGCTAGCTTTTCTAGGTGTCATCCACGTTGGTACCGAGTGGTGGGCTTTTGAGATTGTTGCTCTTGCAGCTGGCCGTCTTGGAACGATCCCTCTTGCTGCCCAGTCGGTTGTCATGACCCTGGATCAAATCATCAACACCATTCCCTTTGGACTTGGCGTTGCTGCCTCTTCTAGACTGGGCAATCTCTTGGGATTGGGAGATCCTATGCAGGCAAGACGCTGTGCTCACGCCGCAGCACTACTATCCGTGTTCTTCGGAACCATCATCCTCGCGATCCTCATGTCTACCAAGAATGTGATCGGGCGCTTGTTCAACGACGATGAGGACGTCATTTCACTTGTCGCTCACATCATGCCTTATGTAGCACTATTCCAGATAGCCGATGGTCTAAATGGAAGCTGTGGAGGAGCGCTGCGAGGCATGGGCCGACAGTGGGTTGGTGCACTTGTCAATTGTGTTAGCTACTACGGAGGTGCTCTACCCGCTGGGATTTGGCTCGCTTTTCATGGATGGGGACTTTCTGGGCTTTGGGTTGGACAATGTGTCGCACTGTTTCTGGTTGGTATTCTAGAGTGGATTATAATTGCTTTGTGTGACTGGCGAAAAGAGATACAGAGGGCTGCAGAGAGAATTGAGAACGGTGGCATGGAGATTGTCCATTGAGATAGACTGCCAGGTGGAAAATAATAGGTTAATCAGTCTCACTCTAACCATGAAAATTCTCTCCATGACACTTCCAAAGTTCTACCAATCCCACCATTCACACCCGATGTCCCGCAGCACATATTCCGCATGAATAATGTCGTAGCGAGGTCGTAAGATTCTGGACCGACCGATGTAACGGTTCTGCGCCGAGATAAGACGGAAATCTGGAACCCCCAATTGATAAGGCGAGCTGGGGTAATAATTAGTCTCACATTCTAGCAAAACCATCTGCTCTGATAAGAAAAACAAAAACGTGGTATCGGCATCCGTCTGCCGCATGATAAACATGGTGCTAGCCAGAATAGGGTCGCACACGCACTGAAGCTACTGAAGCCTATCTCCGTGTTACTTATCTTTGCCTCATATGGTCATGCTTGTATAGGTATAAGTGCATGCATCTCAGTTGCAAATGGCTGTTCACAGCGGGCATTGTAGCATGTGACTGTATGCAATTGAATTTACGCATACCTTCTTGTACCATCTTTGACCATAGTACCAAGTCAATCGCAATGGAGGTTGAGAAGGTCAATGGCGGTATCCTTGAGAAAGGAGACATCACTGAAGGAGAAACAACCGAACAAGGCTCCGTCATCAATGCCTCTGGCCACACAGATCAGCTTACTCGCCAGTATGGTCTCGTTGGACTCACAGGCATTGCAGTGACAGTCAACAATGCCTGGGTCGTCCTTGGTTCTTCAATCTCAGTGTCTATCCTCAGCGGTGGCATTTCAGGTGTCATCTATGGTCTCATAGTGGCAGTGATCTATTACACCTTTATCGGGTTGAGTATATCAGAGGTATGTATTATCTGAGCCGACTTCTTTTGGTCCATCTGACATATTCCAAGTTTGCTTCATCCTGTCCTAGCTCCGGTGGTGTCTATCATTGGGCCACCATAGCTGCAGGGCCCAAATGGGGTCGTGTCACTGGCTTCTATACAGGATGGATCAACTTCTACGGCTGGATGTTCGGTCTAGCCTCGCTCGTCCAAGTCGCCGCCAATGCAGGTGTTCAATGCTATGCCACTCTCACCCCCGGCTTCTCTCCCTCAGCATGGCATGTTTATGTTGCGTACCTGATCGTCATCTGGCTCAGTGCCTTCGTCGTCATTTTCTCGAACCGACTTGTTCCCTATACTCAGAAGCTTGGCCTGTTCCTCGTTGTTGCAGGAGGTCTTGTGACTATCATCATTGTCGCTGTCATGCCGTCAAAGCATGCTTCCAGTGACTTTGTATGGAACTCGTTCCATGAGAATAACTTGACTGGCTGGAATGATGGTGTTGCTTTTATGGTTGGCATTCTAAATGGAGCTTTCACGATTGGAACTCTCGACGCTATCACTCATATGGCGGAAGAGACCAAGAACCCGAAGAAGGATCTACCTCGAGCCATCTTTCTCTACATCTCCATCGGTGGTGTCTATGCTTTGGCTTTTGCTATTGTCTTGGGATATGCCATCTCCGACCTCTCCGTTCTCCAAGGCAACTCGAACACCTTCCCTCTGGCTGGTATCTACCATCAAGCCACTGGAAGTGCTGCAGCCACATTTGCATTGTTGTTCATAATTCTCATCTCGTCTCTTTGCTGTGTCATTGGAACGGTCTTGACCAACTGCCGTACATATTGGAGCCTGGCTCGAGACCAAGCTGTGCCGTTCTCAAATTATTTCAGCAGAGTGAGTGCGAAGCTCGGTACACCGGTTGAGTCAACTCTATTCGTGGCAGTCATTGCCTCGGGTATCGGTGCAATCCCACTTGGAAGTTCGGTCGGTTTCAGTAATTTGACTGGATCGTTCATTATCATCACAACTGTGTCTTACGCTATCCCAATTGTGTCAAATGTCCTGAGCGGTCGCAAACGATTCTCGCCCGGTCCCTTCCACCTGAAGAACTTTGGATACTGGATCAACGGACTTACCATACTACTGATTGTGGTCTTTGACGTGTTCTTTTGTTTCCGTAAGTAGTCCCTAGCCCGTGTTTTCTCCGAGGTTTTACTGACCGCTGGTAGCCTTCGGCATGCCATTTGATGCAACAACGATGAACTACAACTCTGTCATTCTGTGTGGTCTCTGTTTCTTGATTACGGTTTGGTGGTTCCTGTCAGCCTCGAAGCATTACCCAGGGCCTACGTTTCACCAGACTTATGATGGAGATGAAAACAAAGAAACGGTACTATAGGAGCGTGTAGAGTATACTTCAGTCCTCCCATAATACATATCCAAGCTGTCAATTTAATTAATCAATCATTCCCTCTTCACGTTTCTGGAATATGGGTCCACCGAGTTTCGTCCCAGTCGGAAGGCCTCGCTGCCATGCAAGCCCTCTTGGCCCTCTTCCTGAACCTCCTCCCCAGGATTCGATCCACTATTCGATGGCCTCGGATGCTGTCTCCTTGAAATCTCAACTATAAAGTTGACACTACTACATAAGAGCAGATATTCTACACCAGCGATACATGCGAAGTGATATGTTATCTAGGCCATCAGTCAAGGGCCTAGTCTGATGGGAATCGTGAAAATAGTATTCTCAATTACTCCAGCGACAGCTTCATTCTTCGATGCAATCCGTTTCTTATGATGGCTTGTTTTCAACCCGTTGGCCAGTCACAGTCCAGCACGTATGTCATCATGCATGAGGCGTAGTCGTTGAGGCTTAGACCCAGCATCTGCTAGATGAGGCAGACTCAGCTTTCTTACTTACTTACCCAAAATAATTCCCCACCCTTTCCGTGTCTTCTCGTGTCTTCATCTCCCACAAAATGGCAGAAATTCTCGGCCTGGCCTCCAGTATCATCACAATAGTCGAGGTAGCAGGAAAGCTCGGCACGAACACCATCCGACTTAAGCGCTTATGGGACGAAGTCCAAGATGTCCCCGCTAGTATTCGGAGATGTATCGAGCAATTGGAGATATTGGCCCCCGCCATCGAGGAAATGGACCACGAGTTTAATCGGACTCGGTGTATGGTTCAGAGCGATTCAGCGACGAAGCGGAGCCTAGAGTATTCTCGGAGAGCGGTAGAGACTCTTGACACCTTAGTCAGAGACATGGAATCTCAACTCAGTATGGCGAGAACCAGCAGGAGGTTAGTGGCTCAGCTGAAAGTCAGGATCAAGAAAGATGTGATTGAGGAACACCAACAGCGGCTCGCATCAGCCCTGCAGCTGCTATCCCTTTCACAGCAAACCTATTTGATGTAAGCCATTAGCCATAATGCTCAATGCAAGCATGAATTAACGTCGACAGTGCTTTATCACGCGCGCAGCCGGAGATTATAATTTCCGAGATAAGAAACTGGCAGGATTCAAACTCTCGCAAGCAACTTTTGCTACGTTCTGAAGATGACAACCCGACTTCAAGAGGTGAGGGACCTCAAGAGGAGCATAACTCAGGATCTTCGCATGCTATCAAGTCTCCTGTACGCAGAGACTTAAGTCTACGTTCTGCCGCTAAGCCACTGCCGCAGAGGCAACCTGGCCCGTTGGGGAGCTTCACCGTACAGTCTTATGAAGTTGTTGCGAGCCCTTCTATCCACCATGTACCAGATAAAGCAAGATGTTAGTCCAGCCTTTTCATCCCACGCAGATGCTGCGAAAATGGCTAATATTGTCTCTAGACTTTCAAGCAAGGGTACAGATGCCTTGGTTCATACAGAGATCCTGGGACCTGTCAGTGCTTCGGGCGTCGACCGGTTGGACTTTTCAACTGAATACTTGGAACATTCGGCCTTGGGGTACTGGCATATTCCGGGCCGTTGAAAATGGGCAAGTTGAAGATATTGTTGAGTCTCTCAAAAACAGGGAGGCATCAATATATGATATGAATCCCTTTGGAAAGTCTTTACTTCATGTGAGTCGCAAATCCTTCAGTTGAGCATAGTCTGATTATCTAGACTGCCATGGATGCTAGGAGGATGGAATCTATTGAGGTGCTCATTCGTATGGGCATGAGGATCTCTGATATTGAAGCAGAGTATTTATTCGGCCGCGTAGCGGTATGGTTCTGGAATGAACCTGAAACATCAAGGCCAATGGAGCTCGCCCGTATCTGGCAAGCGGATAAAGGAATTGTACAACAAGACGATTGGCAGGATATTGGCTACCGCTCTGCTTTTTGGGTAGTCCCAAATCTCCACACTATTTTACCAGGGTCGGAATCTGTTCGTCAAGTTATCGCTCAGTTCAACTACGGTCATCTCGACCCAGCTGTTCCTTTGGAACTTTTAAGGAGCGGTCTCGCTGTGGCCGCTGATTTCCCCCCATACGTTTGCTCATCAAATCCGGATGGTAGTTGCAGCTGCATCAGTTCGAGCCTCATCTACGAGTATTTCCATGCACTCTTGAACAACGAAAAGACCTTTCACGACTGGAGGCGCTTGGTTAGAAAGTCGCTCCTGGGAGTTTCGCCCATGGGTATAGTTCATCCACATGATGGACCCTTCTGGAATCTTACCAGCATTCTTAAAGTCCTATGGCAGCGGCAGTTTCTACTCCTCCCCTTTGAAAGGTGGATACAAAACGCTGTTACTCTCTGGCTCGGGGATGTTGCAGCGGCCGGCATCAACCTCGAAGAGTATATGAGTCTGGAACTACTATACAGCCTAGAAAGTTATCAGGATACTGTGTGCAAGGACACCAAAGTGGAGATTAAGCCAGGGGCGCGTTTACCAAAGTCTGGGCCTTCACTAGTAATTCTTTCAGTTGGTTTGCGTGCCGAAGACTGGTCCTTTTCCTGGGACCCATGTGTCGAGGAGTTGTCTGGTGAGTTTTGGGCAACACTTGAAGATGCTCATATAAAAGTCCCTGGAGCTTGGGTAGACGACGGAATTGAAGACGGTGAATGCCTGATGCGACATCGCAAATTCTGTTGGTTCCGGCGGTGGGTCAGCAATGAGTCCAAGATAGCGACCGGATACTACCCAAAGGAAGAGCATAAACAACCGATGCGCTTGGGGGGTCCAGAGGGGACAGAGGGGAAAGATGGCGAGAGTTTGCAAATACGAGGAATGATGACGTGCGAGGAGTTTTCGCCTCACGAAGAAGGGTATTGGGATTAAGTGGCCTGCGAGGAACATTCCAGATTGCTATTGGTAACGTGCTGACGGATGGAATGGAAGTTGGACCTAAATTGGTTTCTCAAATGACAATGCCCACGATGATCTACCCGTTGGCTCGAGCCGGGGGGAGGCTAACTAAGCAAGCTTAGTTAGGCATAAAAGGC